CCGCTTGACGAACAAAACATAATACAGTTTGCGATACATTGTGGGGAATTTTGTAATAGAAATGTTCACAGCATATTTTTCTGTTTCACTCATGGTATGCCTGAATTAACTCTAAAGAGTAATCTTGCCTATACAAAAATAATTCTGTTTGAAGTTATTGGTTACCAAAATCTAAGCTAGTATCGGTGACATAAGAAGTAGAAAGATTCTAGACAGTTTTTTGCTATCTGATCAAATAAATGCATTTCGGAATTGAGCTGTTCAATTTTACAATCTATTACATCACAGGCTGCAATAATAATAATAACATAATATAATAATGGATATAAACTGAATGTTTCCAAGCGGAAAATGATAAGGGAAATGACTTTGTATATTAGAACGTCCTATTTTCCGATATTTATTCATTCCCCTTTATTTTCAAAGTTGTTATCTCTTACGTTATCTTAACTCAAATTTTCTTAAGTAACTCAAACACCGATAAATGTAACAAAAATTACCATAATGAAAAAAAAAAACAGCCTGTGGCCGAATTAAATTAGGTAGGATTTTCCTATTTGCATAGATGTATGTACAAATTTGGCTGCAGATTTCTTAATTAAAAACAGATTCTTATGAGTTGATTACTCAGTCCTTAGTCCTAGAGTAATTAGTAATATACAATTTTGTAGGCAAATTACTTTGCGGCCAATTCAGATGATTCGCGCCATGACGCCATTAACGTGTTTCTGAATTAACCTAATTTTCTATAAGATAGATGTAAAACATTTGTCAATTTAAGTTTTAAAAGGAAATTATCAATTGTTAAATTAGTAAACCAACAGCAAAACAATTTTTAAAAATTGCATAAAAGTGTCAACTTACTTGCCAATTTTAAATTTCCAAAACATTTAAAGCTTTTCATTTGCTCATTGGGTGATTTCGACATATGTAGTGTATCCAATGATAAGAAAAAAAATGCACCAAAGAACACAGAAATTTCATAATATTTACACTTCCAATTACTTGTATCCCTTCAGTAACATTGTCACTTTTTGCAGCCCAAGATAAACAAGTTTTACAGTTTTGTAACTAGCTTGGAAATGTAATCAAAATGACCTAACAGCTGGTTTTTCAAAAATCTTCTGCAGATAGCAAGTGGTTAGAAAATAAATATCCTGGAGGTAAATTTAAATTTCGAACCAAAACGGAAACGAAACAGTATAAAATATTTAACTCGTTTTACTACGACTCAAACATGTGTGCTATCGGCGACTCAAGCAATACAAAGTAAATAACACCCGCTATAAGCTGGTTTAGTGAGTATGGTCGGTTTTTGATGGAATGTACTGAGATGGGGGAAGGAATGTTAAGAGTTGAGGATGGCATATAATGAGTTGGAGATGGAATGTGGTGAGATGGGAGATGGAATGCGTTGAGTTGTAGATGGAAAGTGATGTGTTGTGGATAGAATGTGATGTGTTGTCGATGGAATGTGATGTGTTGTTGATGGAATGTGATGTGTTGTGGATGGAATGTGATGTGTTGTGGATGGAATGTGATGTGTTGTTGATGGAATGTGATGTGTTGTGGATGGAATGTGATGTGTTGTGGATGGGATATGATAAGTTGAGGATGGAATGTGTTTTGTTGGGGATGGAATGTGATTTCTTGGGGATGGCATATGATGAGTTGAGGATGGAATGTGATGAGATGGGGGATGTAATGCGATGTGTTGGGGATGGCATATGATGAGTTGAGGATGGAACGTGATGAGATGTGGGATGGAATGTGATGAGATGTGGGATGGAATGTGATGAGATATGGGATGGAATGTGATGTGTTAGGGAACGCATATGATGAGTTGAGATGGAATGTGATGAGATGTGGGATGAAATGTGATGAGATGTGGGATGGAATGTGATGAGATGTGGGATGGAATGTGATGAGTTAGGGATTGAATGTGATGAGATGTGGGATGGAATGTGATGAGATGTGGGATGGAATGTGATGAGTTGAGGATGGAATGTGATGAGATGGGGGATGTAATGCGATGTGTTGGGGATGGCATATGATGAGTTGAGGATGGAACGTGATGAGATGTGGGATGGAATGTGTTGAGATGTGGGATGGAATGTGATGAGATATGGGATGGAATGTGATGTGTTAGGGAACGCATATGATGAGTTGAGATGGAATGTGATGAGATGTGGGATGAAATGTGATGAGATGTGGGATGGAATGTTGAGATGTGGGATGGAATGTGATGAGATATGGGATGGAATGTGATGTGTTAGGGAACGCATATGATGAGTTGAGATGGAATGTGATGAGATGTGGGATGAAATGTGATGAGATGTGGGATGGAATGTAATGTGTTGGGGATGGCATATGATGAGTTGAGGATGGAACGTGATGAGATGTGGGATGGAATGTGATGAGATGTGGGATGGAATGTGATGAGATGTGGGATGGAATGTGATGAGATGTGGGATGGAATGTGATGAGTTAGGGATTGAATGTGATGAGATGTGGGATGGAATGTGATGAGATGTGGGATGGAATGTGATGAGATGTGGGATAGAATGTGATGAGATGTGGGATGGAATGTGATGAGATGTGGGATGGAATGTGATGAGATGAGGGATGGAATGTGATGAGATGTGGGATGGAATGTGATGAGATGTGGGATGGAATGTGATGAGTTAGGGATTGAATGCGATGAGTTAGGGATTGAATGTGATGAGTTGGGGACGGAGTTGATGATTTGGGGATGGGGAATCTATACTTTGGTCTGTTTATGTGATTGGTCGAGGAGTAAATGGCAATAACAACGTGAGGCGAATCAATGCTGTGTGAACACTGATCGCTAGGGTTTTATCGTTATACCGTGAGAAGTGCAAGTTTTCGCTACTCAGTGTGTCAAGGGTCGTCTTGGTATTAGTGTCAGTACAGTGAGTATTGTATAGATGACGTTTTGTGAACTGTTAGTTGCCGTGACAGGGTTTCAAGGGTATGAGAATCACTGTTGTTATGTGTAGATCACTGTTGTCATGTTTGGCAGGGACAAGATGTTTCGTTAGAGATTTCATGTGTAGCTGTATCGATGGTGCGAGAACGTTGTGACGTATTTGTGTAAGGGGAAATGACGCGTTAGTTTTAGTTGTTGTCGATAGAAGGTTTAGATGGCCGTTGTGTGATATTCAAGGCGTAACTTGTGCTGTGTGTGAGGATTCGGCTAGATAGATCGTTGAAGTGGAACATTGATCTATAGTTAACGAGTTGTATTGTTGAAGCACATTGATCTGTTAAGTGTGACGAGACATGATAAAATCATAGCACTGAACTCGTATCAATAGATTCAGTGTTGCTGTGTTTGTGTCGGTTACACTGGTTTGTGTGATGAAGTAGGAGACGAGGATGTCCCACGGATGAGCGTCTGGCTTCGAAGGGTGGATGACAACAGGACACTAAGAGTTACAGTTCGTCAATAGGATCCTGTCAATACAAAAATGCTGGGGTTGTCTTCATCGAGCGTCGCTGTTGCTCTTAATTGTGGACCAAGTGTGGCTGGCACGTAAGGAATACGTTATAGTTATAATATAATAATATATGTGTCCCCTAGACCACTTAGAGCTTATTAAACTTGCCTTGCGGTTGGCTCATCTAGTGCGGGAGGTTTGCTCCATGGTGAACTCGTCTTATGAAGGTAGTTAACCATAGCATCTTACATTCTAGCATCATGCTTCACCATAGCATCTTACATTCTAGCATCATACTTCACCATAGCATCTTACATTCTAGCATCATACTTCACCATATCATCTTACATTCTAGCATCATACTTCACCATAGCATCTTACATTCTAGCATCATACTTCACCATAGCATCTTACATTCTAGCATCATACTTCACCATAGCATCTTACATTCTAGCATCATACTTCACCATAGCATCTTACATTCTAGCATCATACTTCACCATAGCATCTTACATTCTAGCATCATACTTCACCATAGCATCTTACATTCTAGCATCATACTTCACCATAGCATCTTACATTCTAGCATCATACTTCACCATAGAATCTTACATTCTAGCATCATACTTCACCATAGCATCTTACATTCTAGCATCATACTTCACCATAGCATCTTACATTTTTGCATCATAGTTTACCATAGAATCTTACATTTTAGCATCATAGTCCACCATAGCATCTTACATATTAGCATCATACTTCACCATAGCATCTTACATTTTTGCATCATAGTTTACCATAGAATCTTACATTTTAGCATCATAGTCCACCATAGCATCTTACATATTAGCATCATACTTCACCATAGCATCTTACATTTTTGCATCATAGTTTACCATAGAATCTTACATTTTAGCATCATAGTCCACCATAGCATCTTACATATTAGCATCATAGTTCACCATAGCATCTTACATTTTAGCATCATAGTTCACCATAGAATCTTACATTCTAGCATCGTAGTTCACCATAGCATCCGAATTTTTATCATTATAGTTCATCAAAGCATCCAAAATTTTATCATCAAAAAGAAGGACAAACACATTTGGAATCTATTAGCCATATCTGCTGTAGACTTATTTTAAGGATGAATCTATTAGCCAGATAGCTGCTGTAGATTTCTTTGAAAGGATGAATCTATTCGTCTGGTATCTAATGTAGATATATTTTTTTAAAATCAAGATTGTATTATTTTTATATTTGATGATCAAGTGCTAACATAACAGAAATAATTTTAGTTGAATTTTAATTTTTTTACAAACTAACCAACCTAAAACAAACCGATGTGGTGTTATGTCGATTGCTAAGAAAAGAATGGGTGTCTTCGATACGTACTTTTACGTGAAATAATAAGTCTCATTAATATATACTTGTACATGAAAAGAATTAGTGTCTTTCACATGTACTTTGAACTTCGATATGAAAACGGCGCCACAAACACCATCCATCCAAAATACTAACTCGATATCCACTTTTTTTGTTGTTGTTCATCTATTTGTTTAATGACGTTATAACCAGCAAGCACAACCGTAGTTTAAAGACATATTTTCAAGTATCGGATGACTGAAAGAATTCAGCGTTGCCTAGTAAATCTGCTCAAAAAGCGTCTCAGAACATGCGAAACCAGTGGGCCAGTCTGAGAAGGCGTTGTTCAATAGTAGTTGTTTCCCTTTCCTGTGGAAATATGATGATATGAGATCTAAACAGTTTATACGTGTGTCATCAATGATTAGTATGTGCTATACAATACATCAATATCTTCTTAAAGACTATACATTGCATTTATTTGTCATTTCTTCCCTTTTTAACTAAAAATAATCGCGTTTCATATCCTTACAAGAAAACAGCTTCGTAATACCCAACTACCGTATTTACCCAGTTAAAATCGTTATTTGATTATTTTGTGTTTTAAACTTAATATATCATTAGAGGCACGTTTTACAGTTTCCAGCATTGGGAAATACTTATTTTAAAGCTTTGCTTTGTGATTCAAGCCCAGTCAGATTTATACTTTGTGGAAGCAATTTCATTATTTAAGATCATTATAGATTTACTCAAGCTTACCGTAGCTGCCGCCATAGTTTCCTCCATAGCCACCTCCCAAACCACCGCCAAGAACACCGATAAGGCCACCGCCAAGACCCCCTCCGTAACCACCTCCATAACCACCTCCGTAACCACCCCCGTAGCCACCTCCGTAACCACCTCCATGGCCTCCACGACCGCCTCCGAAACCACCAGCTCCGCCAAGACCAATCAGAGCAACGCCACTGCCGAATCCTCCTCCCAATCCACCGAATCCACCGCCGATTCCACCACCATATCCTCCTCCATATCCTCCTCCATATCCTCCTCCATATCCACCGCCGTATCCACCACCGTATCCGCCTCCGTGTCCACCATGGCCCTGTCCACCGCCGATGAGTCCGTTGGCGTTAGCGAGGGCTACGGTGCCCAGGAGAAGAGCTGCGAGAACTGATGTGTACATTGTCTGAGAACTGTAAATAGTTTGTAGCTATGAAATGAATCACGCAACTAAGAAATTGTGATTATTGAAATAAATGTAGACATTTATATTGTCTGAGAACTGAAAATTGTTTGTATTTATCAAATAAATGTTCACATTAGAAATTGAAAACATTGAAATAAGCTTAGTTGTGAACATGATCAGAGGATGACAAGATGACGTAATATATTTGTTCACTTGGCCTGAAGTTATTTACCTTAAAAACCCAGGTTCAGATCACATGCTAGTAACATGTCATGAATGGAAGCAATAGATACAATAATATTCAAATGTGAAGATGTTAAGATGTGATGGTTAATTGTTTGCGACAAATATGATTTATAATTTGACACCTTGTTTAAGGAATAAGTTAGAGATAAGAAATAAAATCTCACATGTTGCCAACAATACTTCATTACATTTTTTTAGCTTACACTCCGTTTTCTTTTTCGTCTTGTTTATGTAAGGATTTCAATTTTTCATTTTTTTTTTTTTTTGTTCTTTCTTTTAGTTGTAAATCGTTAAAGAATAGTCAACGTAATATTTGAATATTCCCAACGTCTCCAACATAAGAACAACGGTAGGGACGCGAATTCTGCACAAACTGGAAAACATCTAGAGTAAACTCATTACTATGAATGTTGTTTTTCGATTTTTCAGTATCAAAAGATACTGAATAACATCTAGAGTAATCACGTTCTGTTAAGTAGAAACTGGATCAGATCTTGTGTAAACTCGTTAATTCAAATGTTGCGACTGCTGAGAAATTCTCATAATAGAACATTTTAGCGAAAACTTTTTGAAGCACTGGGGGGAAAGGGAGCGTGTACCGACACTAATCAGTGAGACTCTCTACTCTACTCAGTCGGCCGTTAAAATCATTGTGGGACAAAAGACTATTTTCTGAGGGTTTTTAATTTTTTTTTTTTTATACATAATCCTTTAAATGTACTTTTTGAACTAGCCCCTGGACTATGTGGCATTAGGAAGAGAAATGTCATATGTTTACATCATGGACAACATCAAAAGGAAGTAAGACCATAAATATTTAGAGATGCCACAGCAATAGATTGTTGTTGCTTCCTTTCATTATATTCAGCCGTATTAGAAGGTTCTCAAACTAGCTTGATCAAGAAAAGTAGATCTTCTAGAGTGATCTTTTAAGTGGGGCGCATGCTTTTAAATGACTCGTCTTAACGCAATATGAACGCAAATAAACACACGTTTTCTTATTTGATCACGTAATCTATCCAATGGGGGAAGGGGAGGGGGGTGAGCCGCCGTGACACCCGAAAAATTAACGGTGGGCCGCCGGCGTCCGTAATTGTTGGACCGCCTGGCCCACATCTATTTTACAATAAAACTGGTGTATCGAATCTCTACGTCAAGATTTTTGGACATTTCCAGGCCACTACTGGTCACATTCGTGGCTGAAACTCACACCATAAAGATACTTACATCTGATCTGATCCTTCAAGGTGATACTAGGAGTATGTCTAAGGCTTGCTGGTCGAATGTCCATGTCCCAACCGCTCACTTATATACACCATTTTTGTGAAGCTGAATTAAGCCACGGGCTATACACCCTTGATCTGCTCGTCTGGTGGTGTCACTCAGGGGCCCGACTTAACGCGTTAGATCTGAACTATGGCGTGTAGGAGTGTAGGTGTCTGCGTGTGTGCACTCAACGCTTAGAGAGCTTGGAAGCAGTGTCAATGTCCTGAGTGGGGATATGGTGCAGTTTTTTTTTCTGTTTCAGATTTGATTGCTCAGACAGGTCGTCTTAGACCAAGCTTAGCGGATCATGATGTAGTCAGTGTTTGTTTACTGTTTACACGAGGACAGGTTGACAGTGATACATATCAAAACCACGAGGCTATAGTGACTAAATAACGAGATACAATATTCAAAATTTGATATTTACGTTACACTATTCACAGGACACGGTGCATGCTTTTTATTGATATCAAGACATCAACTTATGGGCAGCTTTTTAATGTAAACATACATTCTTAATTCTAAAACAATAGTTATTTAGAAATTCGCTGCCCTTTTCGGGTTTAAATAAATGACTACAAAAATTGGGATTAGCTTATTAAAAGAATTTTTGTTTGAACACATGAATTTCACAACGTTTTTTATGGGGTTTGAGGTGTTTCTAACACCGTGGATGCTGGCAGCTGATTTTTATACCAGTGTGTATGTTATGAATGCAGTCAGAGCAAAGCACTTTTTCCTTTCATTTGTGTTAGTCGTTCGAAAGGTTATAGTTTAGAGAAAAAAAAAAATCAGTATAGTTTGAAGAATCTAAATAGAAAAAAGAAATTCCATATTAATAAAAAAAAACGAAACAAATATGTCAATCACCTGCAAACCATGGTCCATCCTAAGCCACGGATTACGGAAATTGACACTCAAGGTTACTTCATCCCTCCTCCTTCTATTGACCTGTTTCCCAGCTTATCGCTCGTGACCACAAACGGGGTCTTTGAGAGCTTTCTGTGGGGTCGCCATACGAAATATTGGCCTTAAGTTGTTTTTATTTAAATTGACACAATAGAATTTAAAGATATTTTAATATATGCCCTAAGAAAATGAATTTATTTTCGATTTGTTTCATATTCCCGCATTTCATTTAAAATCAAGTTAGTGGGGTTTTACTTTTTAAAATGTTAAATAGAAAATAGAAAGTTTTTTCACTAGGCAATAGCTTGGATAATCATCAAATTTTTTTTTTTTAAAGTAGCTTACGTCGACTGTTGGTCTTATTAAAACATTAAAAACAAACTTCAGTCTAAGGAATAAATGTTAAAAGGTAGAAAACCAAATGTATATGATATCAGCGAATCTTCCATGTGATTGGTATGTGGTCCCTAGTGATGATTGAGTTATCGCCTCAGTAGTCAATTAAATATTTCGTTATTATATTATATAACCAACTCTTAAAACCTTTGATTAAATTTGTCGTAGAACTACATAACCCCATCTTTTTACATAGAAACCGAGCCAAAACAGGCAATGTATCTTAGATACAAGGTTGCTTGTGTACATGCAGTATAATTTGAGTGACAGGGAAAAATTATTTAGTGTTGGGTATTGGGTAATAATTTGTCGCAGAGATTACATAATTTTGACTTGGAGTTATTTGCCTTGGAGATTATATGAGTTTGTCGTTATTTGTTACCGGGGGTCGAGTCCCCCAATCATAAACTCTCTAAACCAGGTGTCGGCAAACTACCGCCCGAGGGGCGGAGGGAGGGGGGGGGGGAGATCTGATCAGCGGCTGAGGTTCGTCCAGCCCGCCAAGCAGTTTATTAAGATTAAATTTATTTATAAAATTGCCTTGGAGATTATATGAGTTTGTCGTTATTTGTTACCGGGGGTCGAGTCCCCCAATCATAAACTCTCTAAACCAGGTGTCGGCAAACTACCGCCCGAGGGGCGGAGGGAGGGGGGGGGGAGATCTGATCAGCGGCTGAGGTTCGTCCAGCCCGCCAAGCAGTTTATTAAGATTAAATTTATTTATAAAATTTGGTATTAAAATAAATCAGCACTTGTGAGGAAAACAGTATTATAACCGTATTCTACAAAATAAATCGAGATGATCCATCGTCTTGTTTTAATTTAAACATTTCTCTAATGGAAATTTTTATAATTTAGAACAAATCATACAATTGTGGGGGCTTTGTCCCAGGGTTTATCAATTATAAACCCCAAAAAGGGAAAACTTTCACCAACGGTGAATTAACTAAATAATGTCTCCTGGAATTGATGAAGGCATGTGTCCTGATAGTCTAGACTTATTTAACACTGTTATTCTGTTGGCGGAAAATGCTGCGCGTAGAGTGAATGATATGGGGGACAATAATGTGTACCACTACCTTCTTGTGTGAGAAGACACAACCACCTACTTTTGTGACAAGACGACACTACCTACTTGTGGGAGAAGACACCACTACCTACATATGTGAGAGGAAACCACTAATTACTTTCGTGAGAAGACACCACTGCCCACTTTCGTGAGAAGACAAAACTACCTACTTGTGTGAGAAGACACCACTACCTACTTGTGTGAGAAGACACCACTACCTACTTGTGTGAGAAGACACCACTACCTACTTGTGTGAGAAGACACCACTACCTACTTGTGTGAGAAGACACCACTACCTACTTGTGTGAGAAGACACCACTACCTACTTGTGTGAGAAGACACCACTACCTACTTGTGTGAGAAGACACCACTACCTACTTGTGTGAGAAGACATTGCCCTCGGCCCAGCACTTTGGTTATTAAAACAGAATTTTATAACTTATTTTTTTTTTTACCTTTAAGTTAGACACATCAATAAAAGTTTCTCACCATATATTGCATTGGAAGTTTTTTTAGCATCTCAATGTTTTTACTAACGTTAACCATAGTAGAGAATTGTTGATTTGCAGAGGCTGATAACAAAGAAGACATTTATCTATCAACATAACAATAGGCGACTATTGATAATTTTGGATATTGTTTTATTTAAAAACATAGTGACCAGCAAGCATAATAAAATCGTAAGGACATATGCCCAAGTATGGGGACGGGTGAAAGGATTCTTCGTTGACTTTGGTATCACAATGACTGGTATAGAAACATCAGTAACTCTTGGTCAGCCTTGGGATGCATTTGTTTAGTAGTAGTTATTTCCCTTTCCTGTGATTTTTGTTTTGGAGAGAAAGATGTTATTGAACATGACTTCGCTGTATGTGACAATCAAAGATATTGTTATGTATCTTTAAATTAAACCATTTTTATTTCTTTTTTTAAAAAAATTAACTTAGTTTTAAATATATCGCATAAAAAGAGTTATTCTACGGCCTACCCATAACTCAAAAAGGGAGGCTCAAATGCATACTATCAATATACTTTAACAAGTAAAGGGTAAAAATGGTAACCCAATACTATTTTTTTTTTTCCGCAATGAATTTTGTAGCTCCGGAATTATTTCCACAAAA